GTGAGTTGGCAACTGAGTGTATGTGTCTGCATGCCAAAAAAGTTTTTGGTATTATTTATAGAATTAATAGTGCCTCTTTTCTCCCTGGTTAATGTGAAGAATAGCAAGACAATCATAGCAAAATTCCTTGTGTGTGTTTAAATTAATGTACAGTCTCTTTTAGTAGAAATTGAGTAAGTTCACAGTTTAAAAAGCTGCTATTGAAATCTTCCGAATTATTTGTTGCACACACAGATGCCATAGAGCTGTAAAATGTGCATTTGTTGATTAAATCAAGGCAAGGCTTTTGTTTTCTTCTTATGTGTAACAAACTTAGCTGCTAAGCAACAGGCATTTAATACATGCAGATGTGATACCACAACAAAGTTGAATCAGCATTTCATAACCCTTAAAAGGGATTTGCAAAGGAAATCAGCTCACCAAGCTTGCGGATCTATAACATTTTTATTGATGAAGTAAGCAGGCAATGTACTGACTTTACTGTTGGAATCTAATGGTGATTGCAAGAAAAATGAGGATATTTGTTAGCAATTCCTGAAGTGGGAGGTAACGACATTAGGTTGCTTGTATAAATTTTGGTGTAAAACGTGACCTGCAGGTCATGTTGTGAATCTAGTAGAGATGATTCCTTTAAAGAAATAACAGACTGCAAATCGACACTTTCATTTGGAGTAGTCCTTTAGATTGCAGTATTGAAAGAGTTACCGCATTTCTATAAATAGCTTACATCCAGAAAGTTGCGTCAGTGACAAGAAACTCAAGAAGTGCATGATAAAAATCCCCAAGGAGTTGAAACATGTTTCATGCCAAAGTGCACTCAACACCCTGCCACGTGGAGGAGAACAGTAGTGAAGCCCAGGATGGGCTGGCTGCAGGACGGGGCTGCTCACCTTCTGTGCAGCCCTGACTGCAAGCTTCTTCTTGAAGAAGTTTGAATTTATTTTTGTTGTTTGAATATGTCTGAGGACAGACTATAAGCAGCAGATTTCTAGGATTTCACACATTCTGGTAAAGAACTTTTCTTGGGGCCTTTGCAGTTTAATGATGTCATTGCAGGAGGCACGCATGGGGCCAGGCTCACGGAGCCCGTGGATAATCAGGCATGGGCCAGCTGGATTTTGGAGTCACCTGCAGTGTTTACACTTGGGGTGGGCGGCGGCTGGCAGGAAAGAAAAAGTAGCTTGAAAGGGGATGTTGAACAGCTGTTTTCCATCTTTCCTGAAGAAAAAGGAGAGGAAATCACTTACAGCAAGCATTAAGAGGGATTTATGCTAAATACAGGAAAGTTTTTCTGGATGTTTTAACCTATAGACTAGATTTCTGATAGAGGCCTTTGGGTTCTTCTCTGTTTAGAAAGGTTTAAGTGAGGTTGTCCTGAGGGGATGGTAGCATCTGTTTTCTGGGGTTCTAATTTTATGACTTCTGCTCACCTGGATTTGAAAATCTTAGAAATTAAAAATGATTTAATTACAGTTGACCCTTGAACAACACAGGTTTGAACTGTGGGGGTCCACTTATATGCAGATTTTTTCAGTAAATACGTACAGTACAGTAAATGTGTTTTCCTTACGATTTTTAAGTAAGATTTTCCCTCTAGCTTACTTTATTGTAAGACTATAGCATGTAAAACATATATAAAATACGTCTTACTCAACTGTTTATGTTATCGGTAAGGCTTCCAGTCAACAGGAGGCTATTAAGTTTTTGGAGAGTCTAAAGTTAGACACAGATTTTCGACAGCATTGGGAGGTGGGTGTCTGTTGCTCAAGGGTCAACTGTATTTTGAATGTAGAAGAAATGGTCAGTTTTAGTGTCTGAAATACAAGTTGCCTTTATAGTTTCTACTTAACATATCTATTTGTTAGTACAAAGTATTGGCTAACTGGCTAAATATTGATCACATATAAGATTCCTTTAATTTTTCATGTAGGTACACAGTACGATAGCTGAACAATCCTCTATGCTTAATTTGTTTTTACCCAAAACAGGCCACTTTCCTTTACATTTCTTTTTTATTCTAGAAAAAAACATTTTTTTTAAAAGGCTTTGGCACTAGACTATTGTGTTCCATTTGGACTTTCAGTAATATCCTTTACATTTCTCTGCTCCATTTTTTAAAGTAAAACTAGACTGGCACCAGTGCTAACACATTCATCAGCGTGGTCAAAATATACAGGTTTCCCATGTCAGAGAGAGTCTGGAAACTTCTTTCATATACCAACCTTCTTGTAGCAGTATTTATGGTTAAAAATAATAATATTTATAGAAACAGTGTGAACTTTGTTTGATTTTTGTTTAGGAAGATAGACTATCCAGTAGAATTCATAATGTGGTTTCAGGCCAGTGTTTCTATTTTATTCTCAATATTAAAATTAGGCAGTACTAAATGATATAATTATCTTAAAAGAGGGTTCATTTTGATGAGCAAAAGGTGCTTGAAAATGCACTCTCAGCCAATATTGGGTCAGTGGGCTTGGGGGATGCCAGAAAGTTAAGCCCAGCAGTCGTGTCTCAGACAGTTGGAATTAAGTGTTTCACCTCAGTTTTACAGCCTGTAGTTGTAAAGCAGTTTTGAAATGCTTTTCACAGTTACCTTTCTCAAAGGAAACTGATTCTTGGGATCACTGAAAAAGCGGCAGAGTTTTCTCAAGGAAGAGTGTCTTTTGCTGGCCCTGTGACTTGTGAGGCTAATTTCTTCCTCTTTTTATTTTTCTAAATTGATTTTAGAGAGAGAGAGAGAAAAAGGGGTGGGGGGTGGGAGAGAGAGAGAAAATTCATTGGGTGATTCTTTTATGTGCATGTGCCCTGACTGGGGATTGAACCCACAACCTTGGCATATTGGGAGGACTCTCTAACCAACTGAGCTACCTGGCCATGCTCTTCCTCTTTCTTTGTTGTAAATCATCTACAAGTTAGACCCTATTGGTTCTAATGAGAACCCAGGATAACTGGGGGGCAAAATTCAAATCCATCTGTTGCTTTTGTGCAGTAGTTCAATTTATCAATTAACACTGTTGTGAAATTTTAAGATCCACCTTTTTTCCTAAAGAAACCAATATTCAGATTGGATTCATCCTGTTAACCACATGCTATGATAGGGTTTTAAGCTGTGCACCATTAAAATTTTTAGACTTTTGTGACTTGTATAGAAGTCTATATAAAATTGAGATTAATAAATGGTATTTGAGTATCTGCTATGGGAACTTGGGAACTTTCAAAATTCAATTTCACCTCTCCTTGTTAAATTTCATTGTGCAAGTTTTAGGTTAAGTCGGACCACTTCCAATATCTCTTTCTTGGGGAAGAAATGTGTGGCAGTATTTATTCTACTAAATTGCCATAAAATGATAAATCCTGTGCCTACAGTTGAAGTGAGCTAGCAGTAGTAGGGTGGTTACATAACAGATCCTTCTTTGTGTGCTTGCACCTTTTTTTTTCTTGTTGGTGAAGCCACTGACGTTTGGTTCAATGATTGCAAGTTTTAGAAAAGATAAATCTGTTACTTGGCAATGAATGCTTTGATATATAACTTTTCCAATGTACTTTTGAACCTGGAGAGTCAGATGAAAGAATGCAATACTTCAGTGATAGAAATACTGAAAGGATTTAGCCATTCAGCAAGTATTTGCCAGGTACTTCTGTGTTTGCAGGGACATCTGGGTGGAGGTGAAGAGGGGAGGCGTGCAAAATAAACATGGCATAGTTCTCACCCTTGGGGAGCAATAAAATTTGGTTGGCGAAATAGCTGAACATGAATCTTTGTGAGGACAATTAAGGGCTAAACAGAGACAAATGCATGCAGTGGAATTGCAGGCGGGAAGAGATCTCAAGTAGGAGGGGAGAATGAACTGTGTCTCAGAGGATTTCATGCCCAAAAGGGAGGAAGAACATCGCAAGGAGGGCAAATGCACAGGAAGAGGAGTGAACAGCAAAATGGGGTGGCTACCAGGTCAAGGAGAACTTAGAACGATCGTGGAAATTCCCTTATCTCCTTTTATAGCATTATCTTTCCTTTTTTCCTTCCTTTCCTCATATATTATTTCATTGTTTTCCACAGATATTTTTGAAGGACTGTATTGCATGTAATCAGTGGTGCTAGACACTATAGGAAAGAAAAGACTAAGACCCCTGCCTCCCAGTAGCTTATACCTGCATTGGTTGAGTTCTACCTCAAATCCCTTTTGGGTTCAGAGAGGACTGACACAATAAATGTGAGAAAAGAAGATAAACATGTACCTTCAAATAACTTGGTATACTTGTAACTAATACTAAATGCATAATTAGTAGAGACAGTTAAAGCTGTAAATATTCTTATTGATCCCCCCTTTTTTGATCCCCTTTTATTTTATTTTATTTTTTTAAAATATATTTTTATTGATTTTTTACAGAGAGGAAGGGAGAGGGATAGAGAGTTAGAAACATCGATGATGAGAGAGAAACATCGATCAGCTGCCCCCTGCACACCTCCCACTGGGGATGTGCCCGCAATCAACGTACATGCCCTTGACCGGAATCAAACCTGGGACCCCTCAGTCCACAGGCCAATGCTCTATCCACTGAGCCAAACTGGTCAGGGCTTTTTTGATCCCCTTTTAAAACACAGTTTAGATAATGCATTCTCAGTACCTTCCCTCTCGATGCTAGCCAGAAGTGTGAAGGTGCATACATTTCAAAAGCACTTTGTCCCTCTCACGCAAACTTCCTTCCTTTTATTTTAGTGATTTATGTAAATATATTATTTCTTCTGTCATCTTATCAGATGATATAAGCACCTTCTTGGCAGGCCTCATCCCTGAATTCCCAGAGAATACTGAGTAATGCATGTATGGGGCAACAGGGGAGATGACTAATGGATACGGTTGTCGGGGAAGGCTTTATAAAAAATGTTGTGTTCTCTGAAAAAGGCAAGGGTTGGGTGTGGAGCACTTAGAGGGAACCCCATGAAAGAGTATCAGTGGGAATAAAGGACAGAAAGGTGAGCCATGATCAAGCAAGGATGAGCAGGGGAGTGTGGAAGGGAGTGTGTTTTGAGAGGAAATGGGAGATACTATTGAAAGGCAGGCCAGAGCTACACGGTGGAAGCTCTTGGTGGAGAAAGTTGTTCATTTTGCTGCAGGAAACAGAGACTCTTGAGTAGGTAAGTGATTTGATGATGGCGACTTATTTAATTTGGGAGGAACTTTATGGTTCACAAAGATAGTTATGTCTCGAGTAGTATTGGCACGTTGCCTAGGTTTACATCTTGGCTCCTTCACTCTTTCTCTGACCGTGGGTAACTCACTTTATCTATGCTGCAGTTTCCTCAGCTGTGGAAAAGGGATGCTATTAATATCTACGTTGTGGGGCTACGGTGAAGATTAGATGAGTTAATCCATGTGACATACTTAGCATAGTTCCTGGCACTTGCTAAACATTATGTACAGGGGTGGGCAAAGGTAGGTTTACTGTTGTTTGTATGGAAAATAATACAATAATCAATAGATAACAATACAAGAATAAACTCTGTTTCATGTACTCACATCTATAAACCTACTTTTCCCCACTCCTGTATGTTTATTGTTTATAGCAGCCTAGGACTCTACATAGTTTGTTAGGGCTGTTGTAACAAAATCCCTCAAACTGGGTGTCTTCAACAACAGAAATTGATTGTCTCAAAGTTCTGGAGGCTAGAAGTCTGAAATCAAGGTGTCAGCAGGGCTGGTTCCTGCTAAGGCCATGAAAGAAAATCTTTTCCATGCCTCTCTCCTAGCTTCTGGTGGTTTCTGTCAGTCTTTGGCATTCCTGGGCTTCGCCCCAATCTCTACCTTCATCTTCACATGACATTCTTCCTGTGTGTGTGTGTGTCTGTCTCCAAATTTCCCCATTTTATAAAGACATCTATCATATTGGATTAGGGGCCCATCCTACTCCAAATGACTTTGGCTTTACTAATTATATCTACTATGACCTTGGTTCCACATAAGGTCACATTATGAGGTATTAGATATCAGAACTCCAACATGTGAATTTTTGCAGGACATAATTCAACCCACAACAGACTCAAAGTCAGATCTTTTGAGTATACCACACTATGACCAGGGTGTGCTGAAAGGATTGTAAAAAAGAGGAGGAATCTGTAGGTTTATATGAGAAACAAGGCTCTTCCATCTCCTGTTTTCCTAGACCTGAACCATCCCCCAAGAAGCCACAGCAGTGGACATGTCACAGCGGGCCTTGGGATGGCGGTGTGCTCCCTGCCTCCTGAAAGGATCTTTTCCTTCTTTCCAACATGGCATTCTCTGAGACTTCTTTCCATTTTGCCGGGGTTCTTGTCCCAGCATCAAGAAGGGTTCAGGAATCTGGAGAAGGGGCTGTGCGTAAATGACAAATCTGGAGACGAAATATAATTTTGAAAGGCATTGGGGGTCAGAGGAGCTTAGCTAAAGGAGCTAAGATCCAAGATCTTAAGTCTAAGGTCTTAGGTTCTCTCTGTCCCCAGGACCCCATGCTTTTTATTAACACGATTTGTCCTGAGGCAAGGCAGAGATATACACTTCAAAGGGTATACAGAAACATTGTCAGAATGGGGGAATTAGCCTACGGCTGTTAAGGTGTTTGGCCAGTAGGAGGCAATAACATGTAGATTAAGATGCCCTTTAACTGTTTGGCAGCCATTTAGGTTTGGGGAAGTGCCTTTAGCCATTCTCAGATGCCTTTAGCCATTCCCAGATGCAGGTGACTACATGTGTGACTCAACCCTGTTGAGTTCCCAAGTCTCATCAACCTTTTGATGAAACTCTTGAAATTATGACATGCTGGAACTGGTCTACAGAGATAAAGATAAGTTCAGGGACATTATACTTGCACTGGTAAATTTTAATCCTCTCTATAAATTTGAATGACATATCACTGTCCCAAAGTATAGGTAACAAAGGAGGAATTGAATGCTTTTGGAAAGAGGCAAAAATCTGAAGTATCAATGGTAAGGATTTTGCTGAGGAGGCAAATGGAGATGAGTAAGTGGTAGATATGCTGCTATAAGCTAAAATAGAAGCTGATGCCTCTCAAGTGTAAATTAAGGATTGAGGTAGAATGGAATAGAGGTGCCTAAGTCACTGAGGAAGTTAGAAATACCCCCCAAATGATTCGTTACCTGTGAAGATTAAAAAGGGTACAAAGACGAATGGTGATTGAGAGTCAATCCTAGAGTCGCTCAGAGGACCAGGGTGGCCCCAGGAATTGAAGAGGCTGGCTCCGTCTTGCTTGTGGGTTGGAGAGAATAAAATTCGGTCTCTATGGGAAAGCACAACAGAGGATAAGATGTCACTGAAATAGTCAAAATTACTTCATCAAATCTTTAATTTGGAAGGATCTTAAATGGCATCTGGTTCCCTCCCCTGCCCCCATTTAACTCAGGAATCACCTGGCAGAAGGCCTTCTGGTCTCTACATTCATTTAGGACAAGACATGAGAAGAAAGTTTAAAAATTTTAGAAGCATTCGATTCCTCCTTTATTACCTATACTTTGGGAATATACACCTGGCAGAAGGCCTTCTGGTCTCTACATTCATTTAGGACAAGACATGAGAAGAAAGTTTAAAAATTTTAGAATTAGTATGAAAGCAGTGTCCTCCAGCATAGATGAAGAGAATTCCATCAGATTTGACCAAAAGAAGTAGCCAGGTGGAATCTGGCTGTCAGCAGAGATGGGGCGAAATGGGTAGAATGGATATATGAGAGAGAGAGAGGTTTAGATTAGGAGATGCAACGAATGGGGCAAACACTCCCAGGGTAGGATGTTAAAGACAGTGAAAGGCAGACAGATTCACCAAGACAAGGGTGTAGACTCCCAGTTAAACATTTGTGACCTTGAACATGCACGTAGACATTAAATATCTGGCCATGTTTCAAGCTCTGAGTTGGGATATGTCTGGTGGGAGCATGTTTTTTGGCCTGTGGACCTGTGGCCAGCAGTTCAGAGTTTATGCTTTTGTTCTTCCCATAGTGCATGGTCTCCAGCATTCTAGTAAAGCATTTTCCTCAGAAATTCTTTCCTGACTAATAACTCTTTATAGACTATGAAAACTCAATACAATAAAGTTTTTAGCACAAAATAACAGGAATGGTATAGGTACCAAAGAAATAATAACTCATTAAAGCATCCTTTTTCTTTTGAATTCTGTAGCTAAAAGAAATGTTAGCAGTATAGCACACACACATGAGTAAATTACATAATAGATGATAAGATTAAGAAGGTTATAAGTACTATGAAGAAAAATAACCCAGGAGGGAGTTAGGGAATGGTGGTGTTTGTGCATGGTAAGGGTGTAATTTAAATAAGATGGTCTTGGCTAGCCTCGCTGAGAAAGTGTCATTTGAGCAAATATTTAAACGGGCTGAGGGAGCAAGCCATGTGGATGTCTCGGAGGACAAGCACAACTGGTGCTGAGGAGGGAGGACTCCTCACTGTACAAGAATAGCACGGAGGCCACACGGCAAGAACGGGGAAAGACACGGAGAGTTGTGGGCCGTGAAGGCAGAGAGGTAACAGGGCCAGACCATGAGGAGCCTTGACAGCTATTGTCAGCACCTTGGTTCTTACTCTGAATCAGATGGGAAGCCACCAGAGCATTTTAAACAGAGCAGTGATATAATCTGGATTATAATTGGGCAGGATGGCTCTGGCCCCGATGTTGAGAATGACTAGCGAGAGGAAAGGGTGAAGGCAGAGAGGGTAGTGCGGATGCTCTTGCAGTAATTCAGGCAAGACATGGTGTGGTGTGGCTTAGGTCGTTCCTGGCTGGATTCTGGATGTATTTTGAGGATGGAGTCAACAGAATGTGCTGATGGTTTGGAAATGGAGACAGAGCCGGGAAGGGAAAGGGGGGGAGTTTGGGGAGCATATGAGGATGATATGCTGGCAGGATTGGTTGCCAGCAACTGAAATGAGGAAGTCTGAGAAGGCAGTGCCTGCATCTTTGGGTCTGTGTGTCATTGTTTTACAAACCAAATCTGTGGTGTTCTGAGTTTTTCTTATGATTCATAAGAGGACATTTGGAAAGTACTCAGGGATTTTGATACCAAAGAATTATGATCTGTAAGATTAAAAAGTATATACAAAAATGTTTATGTATGTGAAAGGCAGCCAAAAAAAGTAAATTTATCATTGGTGGGCATTTGAAGATTAAAATGGAAGAATGCTTGAATATAAGGAAGGAACGAAAAAGAGCTTCCTGTATAGTGCTAAAAGCATCACTCCATATGTACTCATCCAGTAAATAAGTTTCCTATTTTATGTCAAATGTACTATAAATGTAGGTTTAATGCCAGCAAATTACTTTCCCATGAAATGCTTCTAAGTCTTTTGCCTCATATCTGTGTATTTCATTTTTAGACAATGTCTAAAGCTTTTAAGCAATTTGTAAGTCCAGTATATTCCGCTGTGTATTTTGCTCCAAGAGTAACGTCCTTGGACAGAATCCTTTTTTCTGGGTACAAGTCAGAAAATAACAAACATTGGGTGAAGAGAAGGATTTGGTGAAAAGTACCACATTTTCTATTCTCATGGGACAAGAGTTAGGGCAAGATTCTCATAATTCTAACAGGAATTTAGATGATTGGACTAAAAATGAAAGTCAAAGTCCCCAACTCCACCTTTGGGCTCAGTGAGTCACTAGAAGGATTCACAAGAAACTGTTGCAATCAGGTTTAATGCCACCACAGGGAACAGACGGAAGTCAGCAGAGGGAACGGTGCACAGGGCAGACGAAGCCCGGGAGAAGCCAAGCACAGCAACTGCGGCAGCATGTGCAGAGCCCCAGCGTGGTGTCCAGGGCTTTTACGGAGTTCAGCGATGTGGGCGTGCAGCGCCTGCGTGACTGACTTCAAATCCTAGACTCCCACAGCAAAGATAGCAGTTTATCATAAATCATATTTAGTATAAACTGTCTGATCAAACTGGTACCATATGGCTCAAGGCCTCAGTTATACAAAAACAAAACAACAAAAAACAACAACAAAAATCTCCTATCAAGCAGAATATTACAAGGGTTTTAAGCTCAGCTCCCCTGAGTTAGACTAGGGCCAGTACTGAAGACAGGCCTGTCTTAGAAATGTGCAGTGTTTGAACAATAGGCCTGCTGTGTTAACCCTTTTCTG